TCACCGATCAATCTTCGCTCACTTTTCCCTTTATCTTCTTTTTCTCTCTGTTTCTTTTGTTATACCAACTCAAAGCTCTGTTTTCTTGTGTTTGTTTTTGTTCTGTGATTCTTAGTCGTCTCTCATTCATTTCCATTACTCACAGGAGGCTCTGCAGGAGGAAAAGGAAAAAAAACGCTGCCTTTAGGCGCGGTTGCAACGAAAAGACGGTGCTTCTCCCGTAAGTGCTTTTTCATGTTCTCGGGTGTTTGTCTGCGATAGTTTCTGTCTCTCCGAACCAAAGCCGCGCTTGATGGATACACACACACACACACAACATTTGACTGTGAACAGAGTGATTTCAAATGTAGCTAAATTAAGACACACTCTGTCCTGCTGCCAGAATTTTCTCATGTTCTGTTCCAGCACAGACATTTTTTGGCCCTTTACATCTAATGCTACATGTGTGTTGTCCATCGAAAGCCCGGAGACGTAATATCTCGCGGACCAGACACAAGGTCAACTCTGTGCCGGAAGCCTCTCAATCAATATGCTCAGACGTTTGAGGGGCTCTGCCTGGCTATTTTCCCACTGAAGCTTTCAGTTCTTGTTGTTTTCTTCACCCAGCTTTTCTGTTTCGTTTTGGGTTTTTTTCTTTCTCCATAAAAAAAACCACTCGGTTTGCCTCTTCATTCGCCCTTCACAAAAACAAAAACGATCGAAAACGAAAAAGAAAACTCTTGAGTCAGACGCAACTGGGGATTAACACTGAAGTGTTTGGATTAAGGATTATAATATTGTTCAGACCTGAGGATGCACTTTAGAATGACAACACAAAAGACAGAGTAATATTGTCAGTGTGTTGCGCCCCGTTGTGAGCGGCTTAGAGGACGAGCCTGGAGGGGTTTCATCTTTTAGATCAGAAAATTGAATTATGAAGCAAAGTGACCGATGAAAAGGGGTTGCAGTGACAGTGGGGGTTAAGCCTGTTTGAGGGCTGCCACTTCACCTAAGGCTTTCTTAATTAGATTGGATGACAAAAGCACTCAGGCTTGTAGCATTGTGTGGGTGTATCTAGAAGAAGGGCTGAAGTGGTAGGCTTGTTGTGTCTTGACTTGGTCATCATTTTAGACTCCTTTGTCAGGTATGCATGTGAGAGGGGTTACTGAAGAGAGGCTTGATTGAGATGTAGCCAGAGGCCCTTTGCCGAGGAAGGAATGGGCATGGTTGGGTAAAAAAAACAAACATTTACCTAAAAATTGGTTACAAATTTAGTTCCAGAGAGCCACAGTAGCTACATAAACAGGAGATGTGATGCCAACTTCTCATCTCAGGCACCAGATTCAGCTAGAGGTTGAAAGAAGGAAGAGATAAAAAAAACAACAACAACAATATCTCCCATAAACTTTAATTTATGTTCACCTTAACCTTCCCGTCGTGTTCGGGATAAATTAAATAAAGGGGTTACAGCAGGGATAGACAACATTTGTTGCCAGCGTGACATACTATGTTGTTGCATCAAAAACCTCGTTGTGCTTGTTTTGGGTGTTAACAGATTACTGTGGTTGCCTGTAGTTAGCATGAAAGAGTCAACTTCTCTATAAACACTCACCATTTACTCACAGCGCAAACTGGAAACAGAGACTGTTTGTCTTCATACTAAGAGCTGGTTGCATTACCGCTGCAACCAACACATTTGGAAAGGGATAACTTCAAATTTAAAGGCAATTTATCCCGTGTTCTGGTTTGTGTTACTTTTTTCACAGTTTCATACCCCTTTGACAAAGTGTTGGCAAATGTTTCCACGCAAGTCTACGTCTTCTGTGCAAATTACTGAAGACCAGGGTAACCTGCTTGCACAGGCTGACTAGGGCCTACCCTACCCTTGAAAGTCACATTATTAGACTAGAGTTTTAGGTCTAACCATGTAAGTTAGAGCTAGAAGTTACCTTATGCTAAGTTATCAGCAAACACAAAGTAGCTTAGTTAGTAAGCAGCATTCATTCAACTCATATATAAAATAATTAGCGCTAATGGGCAAATCAAATAGAAGAATTTCACCATGGTCTGCACCAAACATCAAGCTGTACTAGATAATCTATTAGAAATGTTCAAGGCACCAAAAGTGCAAAGTGAAAAGATCTAGTTTTGTGAATCAAAATAATGGAGGGGAGACCTTATAGTTGCCTGTCAATAAACGCAGACACCAGTAATTGTAAATCACCCTCCTCAGTGTTAATATGAGGAAAAATCTATCCACAAAAGCCAAAAACATTTTATGCAGCAGCCTGTTAACATGCTTTCTAATGCTGTCTGTTTGGCAATTTTAACATGGGAGCCTTATAGGGATTTGTTTTTGAAGCCAGCCTCAAGTGGTCATTAGAGGAACTGCTGTCATAGGCACCTCGGCACTGGCCTTATATTTCAGCTAAGGAGGTTAATACTTGGTCATTTGTCTGTAGGTTAGAGAATAGTAGGCATATGAATTAGAAGTTTATGTTCTGTATTTATAATTAGCGCAATAGCGATAAATTAATTTTATTAAATGGTAAATGGATTGATACTACTCTGTTCAACTGAGCATTCAAGGCACTTTGTACTGTAATTCTTGCTTTGTACGTCAATTCTCATTTACTCAGTCACACACACGATCATAAAGCATCTGATGCAAGCATCAGGGGCAACTTGCTCCAAGAATACTTGAGTGTGCAGGCTGGAGGAGTCAGGGATTGATCAATTGGCAGATGACCAGCTTTACCACATGATTCACAGTCATCCCAATTATATATTATTAAATATTATACCAACGCACCCAGCAACCGGTGGAATTGGAAGGTCTGGATATAACAGTTTACATATTGCAATGGAAATGAATTGGCTTTTTTAGTCTTACCGCACAAAGTGCTTTAGACTGCATGCCATACCCAGTGCTTTGCACACTTCAACCCACAGCCAACTTAGAATCACCACTTGCATGCTTGTTTTGAACTGTGGGAGGAAACTGGACTACCCAGAGGAAACCCACGGTAACAGTCACAGAAAGGTTGCAATCCATACAGAACCTTACACCACCACTGCACCACCGTACCAAGTCTGTTAACCAGGGAGCCTTCTGATGCCACGCCCCTGGATGTTACCCCTGAAACAATGTTTCTTGGGAATAATAGTTGTATAGGTGTCCCTGGTGAAAGATTGTTAATCCATGTTCTTATTCACTAAAAGAAACATTGTTTTCAGCACTGACACTGGGAGTAAAACCTGAAAATTCCAACCAACTAGGCCTGTGTATCCCACATTACAAGTAATCTTTAGAGATTTGTTAGAGATGGAAAGCTTCTCATTATTTGGTAGATAAAGTCAACAGTGACCCAAATATCGGATTGTCTCTTTCCCCCAACATCTGTGTTTTATTTCTACCCATAAAAAGGGCCACATGCTAAAGTACCTGAGAGACCTCTTTTTCAGTATCTCCCTGAGAAACTGGCCCTAAAAGAGAATCTTTACTGACAGAGGTGTTGGATTGCACTGATTTTGTTAAGAGGAAGGCAGCAGTCCAGCTGAATAATGGCCATTACCTGAACTTTTAACTGACTTTGGTTAGCCAACTCCAGCAGTCGGCCAAGTATTTCTGCACTCCCAGTGTCTCGGTTTCTTCTGCTCTGTTCTCCTTTTTTCTTTCAATTAGGGCTGCATCAAGAACTCTTCTTTGATTTACTTCCTGCCTTTTGGGTTTGTTTTTTTTTAAGCTTCACACCTTCTTGATTTTAGTTATGCTGATTTACCACTTTGATCCAGACTGAAATATGCCAACAATGTTAGATGTAGTACACATTCACGCTCCCCTGATGGTGAATCTTAAAGTAAACCTTTTATGCCTTTCCTTGTTTTCTGACATATACTGTTATGATGGTAGATACAAAACCAAAGTTTTGTACATAAAATAAATCTTTTTGGGGTAAAAGCTCTGAAAGCTTGTTTTTGTCTTCTCTACTCATTGACGTCACATGAAGGAATATCCTAATATGGTCATCTCAGGCATATACTTCTGACTTCAAGCACAGAAGCTTGACAACTGTTTTACAACTTGCCATGAAATTTGCTACAGATATTCAGGTTCCCTTGTGGATATCTTAAAATGACTTTCAGTGAAATAGTTTGACATCTCCATGGATCCACTGGCCTAGAATTTTGTACAGGTCTCTGTTTCCCAGAAAAGAATCTACTGTCAATCCCCACGACATAGATACACCTGACTTTCTCTTGACATGCACAAAATATTCCCAGTGTTTAAATGCATGCTTTACACATGCAAAATCAAAAAGGAAAAAAAAGAATTCTGAGCTTCAGGGAAAATTTATCAACCCAAGTCTTCTGACTAATCGTCTTTCGTGTTCCCCCTTTAAGCTTGCCAACAATCTCCAAAGGAGGCATACTTTCCCCCTTTGAGGCCGATAACCATCTCCCACTGCAGACTTCAGGCTTTAATGTACGCTTGCCTTGCGCTGGTGATGGCTCAAGGAACGTGTAAAATGCCACTTGGCTCAACGTTCACACAAGCTGTTTCTGAAACTGTACCCACCACCACCCTCAATCCCTTGGCCCTTATCAAAGACTGAGGACAATCAGTGGTTTATCGCTGCTGGAAATGAGTGCAGGAAGCAGATGTTGTTCTGATTAAACACACATACACACACACATTAATAGACATACTGTATGCCAAGTGAGCAGCCCCTGCTGCTGCCTCTTGGACTGAGAGGAGTTGTCCAGAGTCATGATATCTGCTGAGCGTGTGCTGAAGAGCGAACGAGCTGCCAACAGACGGGCCACAGCTACGAATCTGCCTGATGTGCTACCTTGGCCCCTTCCTTTAGTTACATAAGCCATCTATTACACGCAATCATGTAACACCGTGCTCCATGTGTGATAGCTAGGTTATCAGCTCTCCTTTACGGGCATAATAGCTCCAACAACAGAAGAAGGGAACGCCACGTACGTGCACGCATAAATGAGAGGCACAACGATCATCATGTACTTTCTACTTTAATAAGAATGCACTTTGGCACCCCATTATTTTTCTTCACTTTAGGCTATTATTTTACAAACTAGATATAAAAGGACATAAATAAATGACATAAGTTACATGTACCTAGAGTTCATTGACCAAAACAAAAACAAAGCAAAAGAAAAAAAACTGAAAAAAAAAATCATGACCATGCCCCCCCCCAAAAAACAAGTACAAAAAAAAGATTGAGAGAATGTTAGATCTACATGGCTAGATCATATGGCATCGGAAGGCATACAATGACAAACATTAACTCTTGCTTTTTGTTGTTGATTTTTTTTTTTGTTGTTTTTTTTCTTTTTAAATCATCTGACATTTAAGTAAAGGAAAAAAGTATTTTACAGTACATTCTAGTTTCATTCTCTTTCCCAGCATGTCTTGCATATTTCCAAACAGGTCCTTTTGTCCACAGATAACCCCAACATCCGAAAACACACTGCTAAAAAAAAAAAAAAAGAAAAAGAAAAAAGGAAACTGTATTAAGGATGGAGGTGTTTCTTTCGTATTACATGAAGCATCACTTACGAGTTCAAAACATTCACATAAGTATAGTTTAAAGAGATAAATGAGCAAAATATCCATCGTTAAACCTGTAACTGTATGTTGTGGTCTGAATATTAAAAAAAAAAAAAAAAAAAGCAACAACAAAATTTAAAAACAAAAAAAACATCAACAGTTCTCCCTCAGAGACACCATATTCCTCACGCCACTTGCTTCTTTAAAGGTGTGTCATTTAGAATCTGTTCTCCCCTCCCACCCCACATCCACGTGGAGAAGACGGCGCCAACGTTTCCTCCTCGACTTGTCACGGGCTCCGAGCTCCAGATTGATGCGATTGTACGCACGGGGAGACCGTTAGTCATGTGCAGCTCTGTAGTCTCCATGTGTCCATTCACAAGCCGGAGCAGGAATTGGTCGGATTCCATGATTCCATGATTCCATGAAAGTTGTTTTAACAAATGCTGTTGCTGAGTAAAGTTTGCACAACATGACCGACACACCTTACAAAGTTTTTCCTTTTTTTTTTTCTTTTTAGACAACACAAAAAAGCAAAAAAAAAAAAAAGAAAAGAAAGAAAAAAGTATTTTTTGTGTTTTTTTTTAATATCAAAAACTATACAACTCTGTTATCTCCTCCTCCTGCACAGTGGCATGAAAACAGACACATTTACTGATAGTACTTCAAAGACGTTGCCACTCACAGAGACGCACACACCCACGTGCACACTCGTCATCGCATTCGCTCAAATAAAACTCTTGTTACTTTACATGCAAACAGAATGAAACAATAATTAAACAAAAAAAAACACAAAATAAAACCAAACTTTCAGGAAAAAATAATCATCATCATCATCATCATCAGCTGGAGAGGGGCTCCTCCGTTATTTTACATTCTTCCTTTGTTCTCTTTTTGATGCTGTTAAATTCATTCAGAGTAATTCCAGCGCGAGGCCGGACGGATGGACGGCGACGAGTTTGTCAAGTTGACGTGTTTTGACGGACAGCGGACGTCTCAGACGCTCGAGGGGGTATACATTTGTCATCTCTGTGTCGGTGAGGAGTGGAAGGGTAGCCAGGAGGAGGAAGACAAAGAAGGAACAGCGGGGAAGAAATCCAGTTGTGGCGAGGGAGCGAGCGAGGACGGGATCCTGTTTGTGATAGACGGCGGCAGCTGGGGAGAAGAGAAGAAAAAAAAAGAGGAGGGGGAATGAGAGGCTGCATCAGTCACGGTGGTTTAGAACATAAACAATTTCTGCTTGGCATCCAGTTCTGACCAACAACGCTGCTCTCCGGCTCCAGCTCCATGGAACATTCGACTCATCTGCTAAACAAAAACCGAGCGCCAAAGCCAGAGCGTCCAGAGTCTGCGAACTGCCGGCCTGAGGGGGCGAAATATGGATTTCCAGGCAAGAAGTGTACGAACTTCTGCGTGCCACATGTTGCTCTGCGCGCGCAATATATGATACATGCCCTCGACTTATTGGCGCACGTCAACAACTCAACGATTTAATTCCTTTGTAAAGTTGTCAACATTTCACAAGCAAGAAGTGATTGATCGTTTACAATTAACCACACGTTCAAAAAGATCTTTAATAAATGATAGACACAGATATAATAAGAAACACTAATAATTAGAAACAACTGCCTGTGAAACAAAACACGTATATAGTCACACATACACAGTAACAAAACCAGAAACACTCTTCTGGTGTGTTGCTAAGACAAAACAAGCAATGCGACTACACCGGCTTGAGCTTTGGCTAATCCTGCATAGACAAAAATTAATTAATTAAAACGCAGCGAGAAGTAACCAAACGTTCCAACACTCAACTTTTAATAACAGGGTTTTTGAGAGAATGCTGGTGAGGGTTCTGCTGCTCACTTGTTTGCAAGGAGTCACCACAGCAGATAAATCAAATGTTTACACCAGATTCCCTTCCTGACTCAACCCTCCCAGGGATCCGTGTCTCCTCACAATCTCAAACTGAGGATCTTTTGCATGTTACAACTGATCGATTTGCCTCAAGTATGAAAACACTCCTAATTGAGCCAATCTGACAACGGAAACATTCTCTACAAAGATATTTATTACATGTCTCTTTATTGGAATTATTGTAGGGTCTTTGCCTCAATACAAAGTGTCTCGAGGTGATACATAAATAGAAGTGAATTGAGTTGAATGTATACTTAAATGCCACTGAGAAGTTTAGGATTTCCATAATACTGCACACAGTGTTAGATAGTTTGGCTTTTTTCAGAAGGTTGGGACTTTTTACTCCACTCGCCTACATGTAAACATTCATTTTCTAGATCTGGTTCATCTTACTTTCCACTGTGTTAACAACCTTCCATCACAGAACCAGACGGGGGTTTGCATCTGGGGGTTTAACTGGCACTGTACTCACGTAAAATATGAACAATTACTTTTGGCATCTAGTTTCTCTCTTGCCAATGAGGATAGTCAGCTGTTTCACATCCATACTGCTTTACCAGTATCAAAGTGGTAGCTGTGTCCAATAAATCAGTGCTGAATAAATGAAACTAAGCCTTGAACTGTGTAAGCTTAACCTTCACTTTATTACCTTGTGGGCAAGTGCTAATTTATGCACATAAATTATGATGCTCAAATTATTTAAAAGAAAATGTCAAATAAATCTGGCCAAGGGTTAACCAACAAGACAGCAGTACGTAGCATCTGATATGCCAAAATTAATTAAGACCCTGCATTAGGACCCTCTGGTACCGTGACAACGTGCTGGTGTGTTGGCTCAGAAGAAAGTTAACACCCCAGAGCGCCTCTCTTCGTTCTTGGAAAGTGCCTTGGAGCTCTGCTGGGCTCTGTCAGGCTCAATGGGAGTCAGCCGCTGATAAATTTTTCTCATTAATATGCCAGAGGCATCAGGCCCGCAGACTGATCACAAACCAGTGGCTATTGATCCGCTCTTGCTGCCTGAGGTGGAGCAACCTACTTGTTAATTAACACGGCTTCTAGAGCTGAGGGGCCAGTGATAGGGGGATCTAATGACTCTCACAGGCACTCTGTGGTTATATTAGAAGCTCACTTCGATAATAAAGGGAGCTTTAATCCAATGTCTGTATTTTCTTTTCTTTAATAGAGTTGTTTCTTTGCTAGGTTTTGGTAACAAAATGAAAACAAAAGACTGTCAACTCTCACCTTGATCCTCCATCGTTTTCTTTTTCTTTCTTTGAATATTTCCTGACGCTGATGACTCTTTCTGCATCCCTGTTGCCCCCCGTGTCCGATAACGTCTTGGCAAATTTCTTCATCTCACATTCCGCTTATAAAACCAACTCATGTGGTCCAAACGGGCGTCCGTCAAAAGTGGTGTGGAAGAGTTGGTTGGTCCTGCAGTAGTGATGGGGATGGGACTTCGATCCGCATGGGGAGATGGATGGGAGAATCCGAACTGCGTGTTTATCGAAGGTGTAGCAGGGTGGGATTTTTTTTTTTTTT